CTGCTGCTCCTGGGGTCCCCAAAATCCTCCCATTCCCACCCACCTCTGCTGCTCCTGGGATCCCGGGGGATCACCGAGCTCACCATCCCGGGAATTCTCCCACTCCCACCCACCTCTGCAGCTCCTGGGGTCCCCAAAATCCTCCCACTCCCACCCACCTCTGCTGCTCCTGGGATCCCCAAAATCCTCCCATTCCCCTGGGATCCCACCCACCTCTGCTGCTCCTGGGATCCCGGGGGATCAGCGAGGTCAGCATCCCCAAAATCCTCACATTCCCCTGGGATCCCGGGAATTCTCCCACTCCCACCCACCTCTGCTGCTCCTCCTCCAGCCGGATCAGGGCATTCTCCAGCTCGTTGCTGCTCTCCTCCTCGGGCTGGGAGCCGCTGGCATCCAGCTGGATCTGTGGGAATATCCCCCCGCTGGCCATCACCCCCACCTGGGGATTTGGGGGGCCCCGAATTCCCCCTCACCGTCAGCCTCTCCTGCTCCAGCTCCGTCGCCTTCTCCAGCAGCTGCTGCTCCACCTCCCCGCATTTCTTCTTGTACTGCAGCACCTGGGGAGGCCCGGGGGGGGTGACACCCACGGGGGGTGACCCCAAATCATCCCAGCGCCCCCCCGGGAAGGATTTACCTTGGCTTGGAGCTTCTGCACCAGCTGGGCCTGGCGCTGCTGGCCCTCCTGGTAGGCCTGGAGCTTCCTCTTGTAGGCAGCCTGCTCCTCCTCCAGCAGCCTCCGGAGCTCGATGTTGTGCTGGGCCAGGCTCCGGCTCTCGGCTGCTTCCCCCGGCTCCGGCTGCAGGCTCTGCTCCAGCTGGAATCGGGGGGATCCAGGCTGGACCCCCCCCGAGCATCCCCCCAGCTCCCACATTCCCTCATTGCTCAGGGAGGGGGTGAATTTCAGGGGTGCTCTCAAGGATAACCCAACCTCTGGTGAAGCCCATTCCCGGTTTGGGTGGAGATGATGGATAAAAGTTCCTTGGGACAGGAGTGGGAACTTGCCTGGGGATATTTTCCTGATATTTGATTTTTTTGTTGTTGTTGTTTAAATAATGAGGCACCAACTCCTCCAGAATTAATTAAGCTCCATTAAATAATGGGGCTCCATTCCTCCAGAACCCCACCAGTCTGGAGCCACACCGGGAGCACCGGTTCCCTTCGGAATTCCCGGTTGCCAGGGAAAAGTGCTGGAAAAGGGAAGGATTCCCACAGGGGGGTCCTTCCCAAAAAAACAGCGGGACAAACAAAGCAGGGATGGACAAGCCCCGGCAAGCCAGGACCGGTCTGGCCAAATCCCGGCACTGGGACAGCGCAGCTCTCCCACCCCACACCGGGAGCGCCTGGACTGGGGGCTGGGAAGGCAAATTTGGGGGTGAAAAGGCAAATTTGGGGGCTGAAAAGGCAGATTTTGAGGCTGTAAAGACAGATTTGGAGATGCAAAGGCAGATTTGGGGCTGCAAAAGCAGATTTGGAGATGCAAAGGCAGATTTGGGGATGCAAAGGCAGATTTGGGGCTGTAAAGGCAGATTTGGGGATGCAAAGGTAGATTTGGGGCTGCAAAGGCAGATTTTGGGGCTGCAAAGGCAGATTTGGGGCTGCAAAGGCAGATTTTGGGGCTGCAAAGGCAGATTTGGGGCTGCAAAGGCAGATTTTGGGGATGCAAAGGCAGATTTGGGGATGCAAAGGCAGATTTTGGGGCTGCAAAGGCAGATTTTGGGGCTGTAAAGGCAGATTTTGGGGCTCAAAAGGCAGATTTGGGGCTGTAAAGGCAGATTTGGGGATGCAAAGGCAGATTTGGGGACGCAAAGGCAGATTTTGGGGCTCCAAAGGCAGATTTGGGGATGCAAAGGCAGATTTTGGGGCTGCAAAGGCAGATTTGGGGCTGCAAAGGCAGATTTTGGGGCTCAAAAGGCAGATTTGGGGATGCAAAGGCAGATTTGGGGATGCAAAGGCAGATTTGGGGATGCAAAGGCAGATTTTGGGGCTGTAAAGGCAGATTTTGGGGCTGTAAAGGCAGATTTTGGGGCTGCAAAGGCAGATTTTGGGGCTGTACATGCAGATTCGGGAGGCGCACCCGCTCGCTGAGCGCGTTGTATTTGATGGCCAGCTCATCGCGCTCCGCCCGGCTCTGCGCCAGCAGATCCTCCACCCGCGACAGCTCCTGCTGCAGGATCCGGTTCTCCTCCTGCACCGACAGCAGCGAGGCCATGGCCCCTGCGGGGAGGGATGCAGAGAGGAGGGATGGGATCGGGATCCGGGATCTGGGATGGGATCCGGGATCCGGGATTGAGATCCAGGATCTGGGATCTGGATCTGGGATCTGGGATGGGATACAAAATCCGGGATCTGGGATCCACGATCTGGAGTCTGGGATCTGGGGTCCTGGATCTGGGATCAAGATCCAGGATCTGGGATCTGGGATCTGGGATCTGGGATCTGGGATCTGGATCTGGGATGGGATCCAGGATCTGGGGCCTGGGATCCAGGATCTGGATCTGGGTTCTGGGATCTGGGATCTGGGATCTGGGATCGAGATCCAGGATCTGGGATCTGGGATCCAGGACCCAGCCATGGCATCCTCTGCACCCCGAGCTGCTCTGCTGAGCCCTCCCCGGG